ATATTTGGTATTCTTATTTCTAAAATGGATGTGTCATTTCACTTCAATTTCTCGCTTAAATTTGTCATTGCATATCTTGCCCTGAAAAAGTACGCTCTCAAGGTTGACTTTATTTCACTTTAAAAAATCAGTTTTAACAAACAATATTTTTACAATTTTTGCAATTATTTCTAATCTTCACGACGAAGAGAAAAATTAAAGAATCTTTGAAAACTGCTCATGTGAAAATACAGGAAAAATGTGAATGTTTATGTAACAAGGTTGACCGTCAAGCCCAGGCTGGTGCTGCACTGTGACCTGGCTTGGCCATGGGGCTGACCCAACTAACTAGCTGTGGCCATATACTTGGCTTTCCTATGTTAGACTTTTATCAATATTCCGTGGTGTTTACTTCCCGCCCCCCCCCCCGCACACCCATACAAACAGTTCTTTGCCTTGATAGCTTTATATCCTTAAAATCCAATTAATGACAAACTTGTCCGGAATCTGAAAACATTTTTTCTTGAAACATATTCTGAGCAATAATGATATTTTGTTGAATCGGTCCTTGGAGATAGTTATGTTATATAATTTCATTTCCAAATCTTATTTTACATCAATACTTTTTTCAATGAGAGTGTGCAAAAAAACTAAATGATCTGCTCATATTACATAATCCAGAAAATACAAATCCCGATATTGAATGCATTTTTAAAGCAAGTGCATTTAAGCAGTGCAGTCACGTGGTGTTTCCGGTCAAAGTACAAATATCAATTGCGCACTCATGTAAATAGTATGTATCATTTAACTTGCAGTTATAATTATAATTATATATATATATATGTATTATATTCATCTTTTATATTTGTCTAGAACAAAATTACATTAAACAATATAAAAGTTTACAATTTAATGCTAATACTTTTTTCTCTGGATAAAAGGTATAAAAAACAAACAAATGGAAAAGGACAGACCGGCTATGTAAGGTATGTTGTACTGAGTATGCATTGTTGTGGACAAAATTCTTTAGGATTCATTTGAAAAAAACTTTTTACAGATCTGTAAATCCTGTGTTTGAGCGCAAAGTCGATGTTCATAATCGTACTATTGGGTAGATACATTTTCAGAATTGTTTTTTAATTATTAAACAAAACGAAAAAAAAAGTAAACAAAATTCTATAGTGAACTAATTAGTTGTTTAGGAACAGGTTGAGAAAATAAAAATTAATCTTATCATCGAAAATAAGTAAACTTGTTCAATTTTTAGTTCAATTTTCTCATTATTCCCAAAGATTTTTTTGCAGATTTTCTGGAATTATTATTGAAAAGGCGACATTTGTTGAATTTGCAGAAATCTTTGAATAAATTCATAGAAAATAAGAAATTAAATATATTGATTTTAGCATTGATTTATTGAGAAATTTGTTCCTAACCATCTAATTAGTTTACTGTATTATTTTTACTTTATTTTTCGTCGTCGTTAATAAATAATTTTAAAAAACCGATTCTGAAGACGTACTGACCCAAACTCATGATTTTGAACGTCGACTATGCACTCAAGCTCGGTAAACATTGTGGAAAAGTTTTCTATGTCTTAAATGAATCCTAAAGAATTTGTCCACAACACTGCATCCTCAGTTTAACTACCTTACATAGCCGGTCTGTCCCTTTAAAAACCTAGCAGAAGAGAAAAATAAAATTTTAAGAACAACTGCAATTCGCAAAAATTTCAAAAGTGAAAACCCATTTACATGAAAAGGAAGCATTTTTGAATTTAACGAAATTCTCTTAATCACAGAAAGGAAGGATTTCCAAAACTATTTTATAATGTAATTGATAAAAATTCTATATTTCTTGAAACATGCAAGAGCACCTGGCCAGAGATTTCATTACTATAAATATGTATGAAAGCTTATCTTAAAAAGTTATTATTTTGTTCATAGAGTAATAAAACGAAGAGGTAAAGCTAACCTCGGATGTACACAACCAACCAATTATTGTGTACATCACGATATGTTTACGTATCTAACACTGTACACTTGTATATAGAGTGATCGTAACCATAGTTTGAAAAATCTAAGATCTACGACATCGGGTCACAAAGATATAGGGGTTAGAAAATCAGAATTTGTAACAACAACTCAATTCCTTTGTAGGTTTTCAATTTATTAGGTGAAAGTTCTGTTAAAGATATTAAGTTTCTATTGGCATGTCTTTAGCTTAAAACTTGAATAACATTCTTATTTCAAACATTTTTATTCTTTCTTCTCTTTAACTATTCTCATTCTGTGAACAAAAAAATTCAAACTTTTACTGAAGTTTACAGTCCTTATTAAGTGTCTGTCTAATTATCAATACTAATTTTTAATTATCTACATTTGACCACCCTAAAGAATTAAGTGAACAGTGTTAGATACGTAAACATATCGTGATGTACACAACCGACCACTCTATTAATTAATTAATATGGAGGTCGGTTGTGTACATCTTAGCTAAGTTTTACCTCTTCGTTTTATTGCTCTATGATTTTGTTGTACATTTTCTTCTTTTTAAATTTATTACACTTTGTTTTCATCTATATATAAATTTGGCTTGTCTGTCTGTTTGTTTGTCTTGGTGTTTGTTTGTTTGTCTTGGTGTTTGTTTGTTTGTTTGTATCCAATAAACGTGAAAACAGCTGAACCGATCGGGCCCAAATTTTTTGTGGGATATCTAGGGACCCCAAGGAAGGTTTCTAAATGATCAAAATTTCAAATATTTGTCTCCATCAAAATTCGATCTTCATTAAATTTTTGAAAATTTTGAAAATCCACGAAATTTTTTGTGAAAATCCGCGAATTATTTTTTGTTTTGTTTTACAATGTACACAAAGAGAACATATTCACAATTATTTAGAAGATGGGTGCGAAGCGCCATCTAATGCTAGTTTAATAAATTATTGAATATATTTAATTAATATGTAAAAAAGTTTCTATCACAAATGTACCAAAATATTTTGATAAAATCTACGAAATTTTACAAAAACCGGTTTTTAAAAAGGCTGCAGTTACTGAACTCGGATATTTAATTTGTGGTTAAAAAAATCAACGCTAGAGGCCACTGCATAAGTTTAAAAAACTTTAAACAATTTACTGCATCTTTTTGATGTCTTTTGAAGACTGCAGTTTCAATACATTACTTTATTATTTTCCTGAATTAAAGATTTAAATGAGTCACTTTCTAGAAAGTAAAATTTGCACCAAAACTGATTATTATCATTGTAAACTTATACTGAATGTGTGACAGATGGAGCTCAGTGTACAACTTGGATAGTTATTCCTCTCACCTAATATTATTTGGTAGCTCTTCTCAGAGCCGATGAAGTAAACACATTCGTTAGAATTTCCACATTTTCTTTCAATCTCTTTCGCGAAAATTTTGTTCAGCCAACGAAAAATTTTGCGAAATTTGTTCGAAACTTTCCACCTTCGAAAATACAATCTTCTTGATGCGAAATGGAAAGATTTAGATTTTAATCGAACAAAAATTTAACGAAAATTTTGCAAAAGGGAAAAATGTTCGCAAAAATGAGGTCGAAAATGCATCGAAATCGCGAAAAATTTTACGAAAATGAACAAATTTCGTTCAACTGCCACCCAAAAGGACCCAAATACAATCAGTTTATAAAATACAATCAAACCAATAATATAATTTATATTTATACTAGCTAGAGAACCCAAGGTTGCCCAGGGTAACTTATTATTACTAAATTACTATTTTAGCTATTTTTCCTGTAAAAGTGGACCCACCTATATATATATTTATTAGATATAGATTAACAATCCTTAAAACTACATTTCCAGATTTTGAAGTTATTGACTTCGAAGAAATAAGTAGATTAGATATTCAAAAATAATATGGCGTTATCAAAACGAAAAGTATTTTGTAAACTAATAAAAAATTGAACTACTACAGCTCTGAGCTTGACTAAAAAAATCCCTACTCTTGATAGCTATGATGTCAACCTTTATATAAAAAAGAAAATCATTATTTTTGAAAATTCATTTTCCCAATTTTTCTAATTATTATTTAACCAGGAATAAAGTGTTTGACTTGTGAGGTTGTGTAGGTAAAGGGTTACCCACAAAGGATGAGACTTCAGAGACGATTGGACGTAATCCATTTTGTCAATTGTTTCTTACAATCATGCCTCTCGCCCTCTCATGTTCTCCCATATCATTTTTTAAACATTGAAGTATCATTCTTTCTGAGTGCCTCTGTATTGTATATATTAGCAAGATCATTATAAAACAATAGACACGAATTCTTTTACAGAAACCTTGATAACATCACTTATTTACTAAAACATGATCGAAAACAAAGAAAATGATAGAGTCTTACAAAGAACAAAAAGTGGCTCGTAGCTTATCAATATCTGGTTCTAAAGCTAGGAAATGATCAAGGAAAATGGGATATTAGCAAGCATTTCATAACAGTAATAATTTCCACACTCCGAACAAAAGTAAAATCAATAAAACTAAAAACTACCTAGTGGTAAGCGATTAAATTAATACAATGAAGACGATTTTTAAATTTTATTTTGATTGTTCAAATTTGCAAGAGTTTTAATTGCAGCTTTTTTTTGTTGCAATGTTTATGTGTATCCATGCTGTTAAACTGCGTGATATAAATCAAAATTCTAATCGAAAGCCGCCTTGATATAATCGCCAACCACTGTAGTAGGCAAATATCTGCTTTGACCGATTCACAGAAGAACCCTTTAATCTTTGTTTCATCAACAATGAGAAATTAAACTAAAATTTTTTTTATTTACGGTTTTATTTCACAAAATTACTTGCAAATTATTGCAAAAAAAGAAGCATACTGAGTTCATTAAAATTTTGTTGAGATGAAGGTTTTAAGTGCATTATTATAGATTGGGCATTGTGGGAGAAACCAGTTTTTTACACTGTCATACCATTTTTTGTTGCTATTTTTTATTGTTTTTATACAAGGACAAATTTTGTACTAAATTTATATTTATTATTTTCTTAAAGAAATTATTCACTGTTTAACAAAGTTTATTGTACCGCAATCAGAACATCTTTTCTTCTTAGACCTCTGTCCAATACCGCCGGCGGTCTAAAATAAAAAAAATGTTTGTTTTTTTAAGTACAGTAGAAGTACAGCATTCTATACATGCAGAAGCACTCAACAGTATCGTACAGTATTTTTCCATGCATAAAAGTACACTTTCGTAAGGTTCACTAATAATACCTTACAGTTCAGTGCCGTACCATAGTACAGTAATGCACTGCGTAATAGTTTTATGGTAAATTAATGTGCATGTTATACTATGTTTCAACCTTGTATCCTCTATATTCTATATGTCCATTACACCCTTTTTACAGTGAAGTCTAGGATTTTCATATTTCCGTAAAATTTAATTCGAAAATTTAATAATTTTTCAACCAAAATTACATTCATGGAGATATATGATAAATTTTCGAAGACATATTTAAATTGAATTGAAAAGAACCGAAACGGTAAGGAGACAACCCTAATGCAGATGCAGTTATGCAGGCGGCGAGCACTGTATATAAAAATATTAAGATAAATTTACATAATCCAGTATATATCCCCAGCGAACAATTTACCCCCCCTACACTGTAATATTCACAAGAAAAGCAAGTATATGTTATAATCTAGATTGTTTTAGCATTATCCTTGAATTTTATAGAAAATCTATTTTTACACAAATGGATGAGCAGGCTGCAGGAGACTGTAATACAAATGGATGAGCAGGCTGCAGGAGACTGTAATACAAATGGATGAGCAGGCTGCAGGAGACTGTAATACAAATTTTCTACGAAATGTCATCATTTCCATTACAACTATTTATCCTTATACAACTAAAAAATAAGTAACGGGCCGACTTTTAAGGAGATAGAGCTAGCTGTACCGGGTACACAGACTTACTACAGTGATTCTTAGAAAGCTGTAGAATATGGAAGACGACATTATAACAATAATGAAGTGCATTTTATGTTGTTTGAAAGGAAATAACTTTAGTTTTAAGTGATTAAATCACTTATCAACTGAAATTGGTCTGTCTACACTGCTTACTTGCTGTTTCGCATGCTGATTGGACTAGTTTAGGTATTAACTTGAGTTTAAAACTCGACTTCCTATTCCAGAGTTTTCTGGTGCTCACTGTATATGTAAAAGTGATACCTATTCTTATGATAAGCAACCTTTTATAAAATTGCTGATATGAATCGCAATTTGACTATTTTTAATATCTAAGATAAATAAACGAAGTAAGACAATAAATCATATAGTTTCTGATGAATTTTTGAATAAAAGATTTTACAAAGAAGATTTCAGTAGCTCTGGCTCGCCCAAAAGCAAATAATGCAGGATTCAAAGGTTAAACCTCTAACAGATTTTAGGCCTTAAGATATTCGAATTTCTGTTTAATAGTTTAATCAATAAGCCCTGCATTAAATGCTGCCACGCATTTTATGGCGGACAAAGTATTTCTGAATAAGTTTTAATATTTCTTTGTTATGAACCAATTTCTATGTTTCACTTTTTGTTCTCAAATATATATTATTTAATTGTTAGTTCTCGAGGTTTGAACTTTTAAATGTGTAACTTTAATCCTACCATAGATTGTTCCTCTCCGTTTCAGGAGTATTCCAATCCTTCTTAGCTACGTTATATATATTATTAACACTGAGATTTTCGTTTAGCTATGTATTTCAGTCCAAGGGAAAAATTTTGACAATGTTAATCATATAAATGATTAGTTATAAAAATAAGATAAGTACAAATATAGAACTTAATATTTAAATAAAAGTATAAACAAACTGATTTTACAAAATATATATATATATCTATCTTTACTTAATACTATTGGATTTCAACCTCTATGAATCAGTTTAGGGTGAATAGATAAAAGATATTTATGGATATTGACAGAACAAATAGTTACAAATAAAATGAGTTATTACCTAGATTTTCCAATTTGTTTCTTCAAAGATACACTTCAAAATCACTGGGCCATTTTACGATAAATACGGATCTGAGAGCAAAGATCTAGAATTCAGATTCCAACTAACTAACCCGAGTTAGAGTCTTTCCTGGCTTTTTATAGTAAACCATGATAGATTGTTCTAGAACATTCTCGAAGCTGGTGCGCTTGTTTTTTGGCGCTGCTTGATAAATTATTCTAGAACTTTCTTGAGAAAAAAGTTCTCTGACTCACGTATTCGGTGCGTGCATCTTTTCTTCTAGCTGGTTCTAGAAGTTTTAGATGTTTCCACGATCTTTTACCCAGGATTGTTTAAACCTTGAATCTCGATAATTGATGATGTGTAAACAGGCTAGATAGTTCTCAGATCCAAGGCCAATTATATCTTTATCATCAATTATTAATTATACAGAGAAACATAGTTAGAATTAAAACTTGGGGTTTTACATATATTTGAGGCATAACGGAACAGATAGATTTTAATGTTCTAATCTAGCAAAAGAAGAAGATGCTGAAAATAAACTGTCAGAAAATATCAACATGGTGATCGATCTATTTTATATAAATCAGATTTTGTCAAACCTCCCTAGCACCCTAGCACCCTAGCACCCTAGCACCCTAGCACACAAACAAATAAAGCATGTCTCAAAAAATTGGGTTAAAGACTCAATTGGTTTACCTTGTGTTTGGTTGGGGTATAGGTTTTCTTAAAATCCCCCCCACACTCTTCACAGGCGTAGCAAACAGGACAGTTTCTAAATAACAATTAAAAATAATGATCCGGCGGGTTAATAGTGTAACTCCAAGTACCGAATCACAGGGATACACGTTTCTAAATAACAATTAAAAATAATGATCCGGTGGGTTAATAGTGTAACTCCAAGTACCGAATCACAGGGATACACGTTTCTAAATAACAATTAAAAATATTGATCCGGCAGGTTAATAGTGTAACTCCAAGTACCGAATCACAGGGATACAAGTTTCTAAATAACAATTAAAAATATTGATCCGGCAGGTTAATAGTGTAACTCCAAGTACCGAATCACAGGGATACAAGTTTCTAAATAACAATTAAAAATATTGATCCGGCAGGTTAATAGTGTAACTCCAAGTACCGAATCACAGGGATACAAGTTTCTAAATAACAATTAAAAATATTGATCCGGCGGGTTAATAGTGTAACTCAAAGTACCGAATCACAGGGATACACGTTTTGTCTAATCAAGTAAGAATAAGATAGTAATGTCTAATATCAAAAGTGACTTTTTTTGGAAAAAATACAGGAATTATTGATTTAAAAACATGTAAATCTCGAAAAACTACATTTAAGATCATAAAAAGGTTTCAAGGGGTACATTGTGAATCGAGATTTGCCTTCTTTTTATGGTTTGTCACTTATAATTATTCTTACAGTCCCTTTAAGATTATTCTATTTAGACAAAAAATTATTGAACATCACAAGTCAGCTGTTTTTCTTGGATTAACACTTTTTCATCGAGAGTTCCAATCTCTTTATTTTAATTGAAAGTTATGCACAGAGGAGGCTTATGGGGGAATAATTATTAGTCTAGGCACCCTAGATATTTGATAATAGATTCAAAAATATTTTTGCCTAAAGCGCCACTTTTTCACTCTAAATACACTTTTTTGATAATAATCGAAATCTTACTTACACATGTTCCACCTTCCACCCCCTAGCTGATCATGATTTTGGCATAAAATTGAAAAAAATTCAAGTATTGAAATCTAGGGGGGGGGGGAAATATTTTCAATTATTTCCCCCCCCCCTGGAAAATACCATAAGCCCCTGGTTATGCACAATTTGGCGAATATCTGATATTTTCCCCTAAACTCCATATTTAACATTAAACAAACCTTTTTCAACATTTTTTTCTTTTGATTTAATTTAATCTTTACCTGTGTTTTCTTTCCAGTTTATGTGTACAGGCAGATTTTAATCCTTATTGCAATCAATAAATCAACAAGATTTTAGACATAAAAGGGTACCTTCGCGAATAATGCTAAAGGATAAGTGAAAACTAAAAATTGGTATCAAATGGTATCAAGATTTTTTAATCTTTAGTTTGAGTTGTGAGAACATTTTCAAAAAACATTCGTCACACAGCTCATTCTCATTCGTCACACAGCTCATTCTCATTCGTCACACAGCTCATTCTCATTCGTCACACAGCTCATTCTCATTACTCACTTTAGAAAATGTTCGTTTATAAAGTCGATTCGAGTTTAGCCTATATATATATATATATATAGTGATTTTTTCGAGAACAATTCCTTTAGATTTACCCTTTTCCAAATATATTTACTTTGACACAATTTTGAAATGAAAAAATTGGGGGAAAAAACTTCCATTTGACTTTAAATTCCTCGTAACTTTTTTTATATACCAAACATAAAGAACCTTTTATAGTAATATTCAAATCCAATGAAATTAATGTGATTAAAGCACTAAACCTAACGCAACTTTAAATCATTTTCTAAACTTTTTTAAAAACTTTTTGCATTATTATGATCTAATGAATAAAACACAATAAAAATCCTAATCTTCTTTTTAAAAATCAAATTCCCTTTCTAAACTTAAAACTAATCTATTTTTCAATACTTTCCTAAGAAAACTATGAATTAATCCTATTAAAATTATTTAATCCTCTTTCCCCCAATTCTTTCTTGCCTCATACTATACCAGCGGACTATAGACAAAAAGAAAATTAAAAGTTTTATATCCCTTAAATCTACTTAGACAATGGAATTCACTCACAGCACAGATTTTGTGACGTATTTGCAAAATTTTCGGCTTTTAGAAAAAACAAATTTCTTCATTGTTAGGCAAATTTTTTTAAAGCATGCTTTTAGCTTTAGTTTTGACAAAAATATGAAAGATCAGGTCAAAAAGGTTTGACTTAAAGGAACTGAGTCTTCGCCACACAATCGAATATTCCAATTATATCTTTGAAACCTGATGATGTAAACCTTTGAAATTTCGAACTTATAAAAAATAGATTATTTGATATAAAAGAATTCATAATTTGAAACATCTATGGTCTTAAACAATTGGTTGATAAGATATAGGGATTAGAAAATCAGAGTTTGTGGCAAAGACTCAATTTCTTTGGCACAAACTCTGATTTTCTAATCCCTATATCTCTGCAACCCAATGTCCTATAACTTAAAGATATGTTAAACTATGTAATCTGTTAAATCAACAAATCTTTTAAATATCAAAGGTTTCCACCATCAGGTTGCAAAGATGTAAGGATAAGAAAGTTTGAATTTGTGACAAAGACTCGAATAATGAAACAACAAGAAAAAATCTTCTGCTGTTAAAAGAAATACTTGTGTATCTATCTAGATGTAAATGTCTTATTTTACAAATCTTTATTTGTAAATATTATATATATATAAATATATATATTTTGTAATATGTCAATAATAATTAATCTTGATTAAAGTGTAAATTATTAATAAATGATCCGTTGCATCTAGACTCAAAATATCTAAGGATAGATCAACAAATATTTAAATATTTAAACTTTTGATGTCTAGAGATGGAGACTGTTGATGTCTAGAGATGAAGACTGTTGATGTCTAAAGATTGGGATTGTTGATGTCTAGAGATGAAGACTGTTGATGTCTAGAGATGAAGACTGTTGATGTCTAGAGATGGAAACTGTTGATGTCTAGAGATGGAAACTGTTGATGTCTAGAGATGGAGACTATTGATGTCTAGAGATTGGGATTGTTGATGTCTAGAGATGAAGACTGTTGATGTCTAGAGATGAAGACTGTTGATGTCTAGAGATGAAGACTGTTGATGTCTAGAGATGGAAACTGTTGATTTCTAGAGAAGGAGACTGTTGATGTCTAGAGATGGAGACTGTTAATGTCTAAAAATGGAGACTGTTCATTGAAACTGCGCTTCTATGGATTACTTAACATGATTAGTTTAAATCATGCGTCATAATCAAATATGCTATAGAGATGTACATAGATGGTTTATACCGCTTGATAACTGTTTTCTCGTAAAATCTCGTAAAATATGTAATACAATGTTATTAATCATGTGAAATAGATAACATTGTAGTAATTGAATTACGTAAACTTTTATTAACTTTGTAACATAAGCTATTGAATAAAGTTAGTTGAATGAGACTCAACTTTTCATTACGTTATCAGAAGTGTAGTAAGCTTGGGAATAGAGCTTTGATTCTTGTTGAATTATACGAGTTGAGAATCTACTTGTGTAGCAATTTCAATTGCCTTTGTGGCATTTAGAACTAGGGAGTTAAGCCTGGTTGAGATATTGATGTTAATTTTGTTTATCTAGTTCATGAATAAGCCAGTCTGTTTAAGCTTTCATTAACTGAACAATTTTTTTTCTCAAAAAAATATTCTAAACTTCTTTAACGAAACTTGAACTTTAAGGCAACTGTGTTTCATTTAGAATCGAAAAGTCAGTCCTGGTTGATCTTGGTAACGAGTGGACCTGGATAGATACGTCTAAAAATATAACACTCATGGAGTATGTCATTCTCAATTCATTGTGCAATCCATCGTCTACTTTCTTCCTTAATTGCAATTACATTTAATTTGGGTTAAAATGAAAGTGTTATAGTTTTAAGTGACCGAGCGGGAACAGGGAGGGGGAGGGGGGAGGGGGGGGGGGCAAAGAGAAAGGTGGCAAACATTCGTATTAGGAAAGCATTAAATTCCCCCCCCCCTTCCTGTCTTCCCCTTCCCCCCTCCACTCCACACCACCTCCCTTTATTGCGATAACAGTAATGTTTAACCAATTATTAGTTTTCAGAATACTATAATCAGAGTTTGCAATAATTCTAAAGAATGTACTAACAACTCCCAATTATAGATTTTTTTTACATAAACATACTCTTAGACTATTCTAATTGGATTCACGGTCCAGTTTTTTGCAGGCTTTTTTATGTACAGGGTCGTCCACAAAAGGATGAGACTTCAGAGACGACTTTTATTTCTTTTCTAAATCATTAAATAGATCTTATGTAGACCGTATTTAAGGCAGAAGTCAGACTACTACCTTCAAAATATCGTACAAAAAAATTATCAGGTCGTTTAAAAAAGTCTTATTCTAAATAAACAATCCTGAAGATTTGGAAAAACAATGAAACCAAAAGTAAAAGGTTTGTAGAATGCTAAAAATGCAGAATTTAAAGTAAGAGAATTTTTAAAGGGAGTGTTTACTTTTAATGAAAAAAACTTCCAAATATGTCTTAAAATAATAAACTTTTTTTTAAATATTCTATAATCAGAAAGTTTTCCGTTCTTCAAAATACTAAAATTTTAATCTTGTTGAATAGGATTTCCTTTGTTTTTTCTTTGTTGCAAATTGTTTGAGAAGAACTGAGGTTTCTCTAGGTTGGGTTCTGTTCCAGCTCCAGGGTTTAACAACCACTGTGGTAAACCACCACCCTGAGTGGAACAGGTTTATAATGAAACAATTGTTAAAAAACAGATTTTCAAATCATAGTTAATACTGATCCGATATTACTAAAAAAAAGTTTTTAAAACCATCTTAGACATGTTTACGTTAGCCTATAAACTTTCTACATATATATATGAAAAATTCTCAAATATCGAAAAAAATGTTCGAAGTAAGGAAAGCTTTTTTTTTATCAACACGCTCTTGCCAAAGTTCTTTTCTTACAGTAACCTACCTGTTTACCGTTCGTTGGGATTTCCATTTTATAGACTTGTGAACTTCCTGAAACATAGTACAGGGTGTCCCAATAATCATGGAAATTATACACGAATTGATAATCGTTTTCGATTTCCCGTCATTAATAAATAACATAAAAAGATTTTATATCTTTTAAAATGTGGTCTGCCTTCTTTGTATCTTCAAAATTGACGGAGATATCAAATATCAACTTTGTTGTTACTCGGACTTTTTGAAATTCTTGAGATTTTCTTTTCATAATAACTGTTTAAACTGGGATACTGCCGCGCAAAACAAAGACGATCCTTAATTCCCATGTCTATTGGAACACCCTGTAGATAAAAACATGTTTGACGTGGATTATTAGTTCACACTGTTTGACCTATGCATAAAATTGAAAAAAGTTCAATGGAAAATTTACATGTTTACAATTCTTTAATATACGGCTATAATCAGGAGAGCAATTGTTTCTCCTAATAATCTCTCCCCATCTAATGTTACCAAGATGAGTAAATCTATAAAAACATAAGTCACTGCACGGTTCTAAATCAAATGTTTTATGCAAAATTCAAGATAAAATTTTCATGGCAAAAAAGAATAGAAATAGTTTGAAAGCCTTAAAAACTCTTGAATATTCCAAAGTTCTGCCTTGTAGTTTTAAAAAAAGTAAGATAAAAAAACAGTTTAAACTGAGATAATGAGAGAAAAGGTTTAGATAAACCCAACCAAGAATGTGCAAATGCAAAGTTAAAGATTTTTCTTGGAAGTCTGTTCAAACAAGTTCGCAATTAGATTTGCATACTTTAGCACAACATAGAATATATCCATTGCAAGAATTATGCGCTACTACACTTCCGAGAAAACCTAATAGTAGGACTGGAAAAATACCTAATGGTAGGGCTGGGAGAATACCTAATAGTAGGACTGGGAGAATACCTAATAGTAGGGCTGGGAGAATACCTAATAGTAAGGCTGGGAGAATACCTAATAGTAGGGCTGGGAGAATACCTAATAGTAGGACTGGGAGAATACCTAATAGTAGGACTGGGAGAATATCTAATAGTAGGACTGGAAAAATACCTAATGGTAGGGCTGGGAGAACACCTAATAGTAGGGCTGGGAGAATATCTAACAGTAGGACTTGGAGAATACCTAATAGTAGGGCTGGGAGAATACATAATAGTAGGACTGGGAGAATACCTAAAGGTAGGACTGGGAGAATACCTAATAGTAGGGATGGGAGAATACCTAATAGTAGGGCTGGGAGAATACCTAATAGTAGGACTGGGAGAATACCTAATAGTAGGGCTGGGAGAATACATAATAGTAGGACTGGGAGAATACCTAATAGTAGGGCTAGGAGAATACCTAATAGTAGGACTGGGAGAATACCCAATAGAAGGGATGGGAAAATATCTAATAGTAGGACTGGGAGAATACCTAATAGTAGGGATGGAAGAATACCTAATAGTAGGGCTGGGAGAATACCTAATAGTAGGACTGGGAGAATACCTAAAAGTAGGACTAGGAGAATACCTAATAGTAGGGTTGGGAGAATACCTAATAGTAGGGATGGGAGAATACCTAATAGTAGGGTTGGGAGAATACCTAGTATTAGGGATGGGAGAATACCTAATAGTAGAGCTGGGAGAATACCTAATAGTAGGACTGGGAGAATACCTAACAGTAGGACTGGGAGAATACCTAATAGTAGGGTTGTGAGAATACCTAATAGTAAGGATGGGAGAATACCTAATAGTAGGGTTGGGAGAATACCTATTAGTAGAGATGGGAGAATACCTAATAGTAGGGCTGGGAGAATACCTAATAGTAGGACTGGGAGAATACCTAAAGGTAGGACTGGGAGAATACCTAATAGTAGGGTTGGGAGAATACCTAATAGTAGGACTGGGAGAATACCTAAAGGTAGGACTGGGAGAATACCTAATAGTAGGGATGGGAGAATACATAATAGTAGGGCTGGGAGAATAACTAATAGTAGGGCTGGGAGAATAACTATTAGAAGAGCTGGGAGAATACCTAATAATAGGGCTGGGAGAATACCTATTAGTAGGGCTGGGAGAATACCTAGTATTAGAGCTGGGAGAATACCTAATAGTAGGGCTGGGAGAATACCTAATAGTAGGACTGGGAGAATACCTATTAGTAGGACTGGGAGAATCATTGATAGTAGGGCTGGGAGAATACCTAATAGTAGGGATCGGAGAATAGTAGGGATGAACTAAATTTTTAGTTAACAATATTGTCGTTTAGAAATAAATACGAACAATGGATGAACGACTTGGATCGTTCAGAGAAATAATTTTTTTAAATTCAACGAAAAAAACCGTTATGGTTTTTAAAAAATTTTAGTTTTTACTGAAAGAATAATTGTATTACACGATTTGACTGAAAAATGGTTCAGTGAAAAAAAAACGAAATGGATTGTATGAATATTGAACAAACAATATGAAAAAAATGAAATTTTCTTTACCAACAACAAAAATCAAGAAAACCCATATGAAAAATTGAAACAAAACTGTGTAAGAATTTCGTACATTTAACACACAATCTTCACTACAATATGATTTTTGAAATTATGAAAATTTAATTTTCGGCAAATTTCACAATTTTACACAAAAAATATTGTTTAGAAAATTGCTTCGTCAAATGTACTGACAAAAAGTACCAACAAGTCCAGCCCTATCTAAAAGAATGCACTGAGATTTTAAAAGATGTTAGAACGGTTGAATCCAACCACCACTGGTGTCAAATCTTGAACTTTGTCTTATGTTATTATATTTCTTTGTTGTCGTTGCATTGCAGACCAAACTATGCACGCTATCACACAAAAAATCAAACAATAATTTAATTTTGCCAATTTCTCCTTTTAAACTGAAAGGGAGAGACCGGGCTTGACATGGTAGTTGGGCTGAAAGTGCAGTATTGTAGAGGAAAACTTTTGGATTCATACCAATGAGACATTGTTATGTGTACAATTTTGAATATGATCGTAAACTGTAAAGAAGAAACGTTTTTTTACAATTCTTCAACAACATGGACAAAACATGGAACAAATCCTATCTGATCGTAATGTTTAAAACAAAAAAGTTTTAATCTGAATCTCTTTTCTAAAAAGAACCTATCTTTCTCGCCAGATTATTATTTCTAATTTAAACCTTTACGTAATTAAATTAAATTGTTCTTAATGAAAACTGATAGAATCATTGTTTAATCAAGGGGAATCTGAATGTTTTTTTCTAAAATTGGAATCTTTTTTTCAAACAAAATTCTGAACCTTGTTTGTATAAACCAAAATATGAAAACTATTTAGTTTTCTCCTTTCTTACAACCCTTACAATGACTGAACCAACGTATTTTCAAAAACTGCATTCAAAAAATCCAAATGGTTAAAACGATCATGATTTAAAAACAATTTAAAAGTTAAAACTCACTTTTTATAGAAAGACAACTTTTAGACTCAAGTTATTACTTTAAATAGTCCAATGAAAACAGTGTCCAAATTTAATGATTTAAGCCGCGTCTCAAATCCCCCCAAAACCGGTTTCAATTGAGCGCCGGCTTAAATCTTGAAAAATTAAATGCAAAGGATTTGAGTTTTTGCCACAAACTCAAGTTATCTGAAACCTATATCTAAGTAACTTGATGGTATAAACCTTTGATATTTCAAACTTATATTAATTTACTTCACAGAATTCATACTTTGAAATATCAAACGTATAAGGCATTGGGTTCAAAAGATGTAGGGATTAGAAAATCAGAGTTTGAGGCAAAGACTCAATTCCTTTAAGTGGAACCAACAAAGTTTATTTCGCAGTTTAAATTAAAACTTCGGCTAAAATTCTTTAAATTAGGCCTCTGGCCTCCTCAACTTGATAAGCAGGATTTAAAGAATTACTAGTTGAAAACTATTTCGTTATAAAAATAATTATTATTATTATTATTATTGTTAATAAAATGTCGTCTTCTTACTCCAAAGTAAGTTCTCATTATAAAATATTCGTACTGAAATTGAGCTGTTAAATAATTCTAAACTAAAATGATATCTAGAGTTTAAAATTGTTAAACCTTTAGTTAAGGATAGATGTTGATTTGCGCCATACATTTCTCTTGTTTCCTAACAAATAAAACAATCTCTAATATAATCTAAGGAAACTTTTTTCTTATCTTTTAAGACTTATTTCAATGATAAATTCTATCTTTTAAGATCGTGTCTACTTATTATTTAATATCTTTTCTTGTGTTTTTTATTTCTGTTTTGAACACACTTTGAAAGATAATCAATTCAACGTTTTTAATTCTAATTTGTAACTTTTTAAATTGATATACCACCTCAATCTGTGAAACTGTTAAACAATTAATAATTCTAATCTGCTTTTTTTGTTTGAAAAATAATTGAACGCAATAGTCATTTCAAATTGTCTGTTAGCATTAAAAAGTGACATTCAAAAAATGTTTTCATACCAGCTGCTTCACAGATTGTTGAATTCCATCAACCTGGGCCTGGTTTGCTCCCAACCTTTCTCTTAAATAAAACATTTTTTCCATTTTTAATAATTTTGAAAGATAATTTTTTCTAGAAATTTCACAGTTTGGTTTTAAGTTGAGTAAATAAATATTATTCACAAGAAAACTACAAATCTTAAAATTGAAAAAACGTTAAATAACATTTTTTGAGGTGATATTCGTACTGCTGCATACTTTGTTTGAATTTGTTTAATTGAATTAAACTTTGTTTTTATAAATAGGTTTTTTATCACTGCCGAAAATGTATACTTGGCACTTGTAGTTTTTAATCAAACCTAAAAAACAACTAGCAATGCCAATCTTTGACAAATAAAAAAACTTGAGATCATAGTTTTGTTTTTAACTATTTTAATAAGTGTCTGGGATAAAGACGACCTAGCGCACACCAAGGAGTCGATAATACACCTCCAAGTCTGATCTTCTAATCTCTTTAAAATTGCAAACCTGATGGTGTAATTGTATACTTTTGATATTTCAAACTTTGACGAAATAGATCTAAGAGAATTCATAGTTTTATATATGTCGAAGGTCAGGTTGCAAAAATATATAAGGACTGTAAAAATTAGAGTAAGAGGTGAGTAATCAGTCTTTTCTAATTATTTCTACATTAAATAATGTAGAATAAAATCATATAAATAAGGTTTTGATTACATACAGCATTGTCTTCTTTGAAGTTTCAATATTGTTGGTTAACCCTGTATTAACCCTGTATTGTATAAATTCGGAGAATACTGATGCAGAATTCATAATACACATTCTGTCCATTGGAGGTTCAACCCTCTAATGCATAATATATAATATATCTCTGGGATAAGTATATATCTGGAAGCACTTATTGCAATTTATCAAATTAATTTATCAAATTAATCGATGCTATACTGCAAAAGCCACTTTACCCATTTGCATTAGATGGAAGAGCTTATATATATATATATATAATAGTTATATTTATATTTATTTTTATTATTTATATATCCGTATTCCATTTTTACAAGATCAAATTTTTTTGAATGGTCCAAAAACAAAGAGTGTTGAAACGAGAAACAAAAATTAATGGTTTAAATAATTTCAATATCAATAAATAGTACATGTATACATGTACACATATAAGACAAAAACGTTTTGCAGTTTATTTTGATAAAAAAAAGATCTTTTACTCGAATATATTTTACTTTTAAATCAATTTTTCTGTAATATGACTTTTTGGTATCAATTAGAACTGAAACAATTATGGAAGAAGACATTTAAAACTATACCACCAACTGTCATGTTTCCTGGGACACCGTGTATACTTGTGAAAACGGAAGACGACTTCTAGGTTCAAGCTATAATTTGAATCAACTAATTGCTTTAAAAAAATACACATAAGGGTGTCTTAATATTCTACCGTTATATGGGTTCAGCTGTACTCTAAATTGAAATAATCAAAAACAATTTTTTTTGCAAAAAGTTTATAACATTTTCTAATCCTTATTAATTTTCAACCTGATAGCGTTGATATATTTCAAACTTATTTCATCTCATAGTTCAAAATATCTAAGGTTTACAACATTGGGTTGCAAAGATATAGAGATTCGAAAAACAGGGGTTGTGCAAAGTAAAATAAAAGGAATACATTATCAGAATTTTCTTTATTATGTCTGCTCCATAAATCTACAATTGTCACTTACACAGAAAAGCAATGTAATTTCTGCTTTAGACATATTAGCGTTGGGAAACTGACACTAAAATTTTCAAATGAGGAATTGCTTGAAAGGAATTGCTTGAAAGGAATTGAGTTTTTGCCGCAATCTCTAATTTTCTAACCCCAATATCTTTGCAACACAATGTAGTAGATCTTAGATATTTCAAACTATGAATACTGTTCCATCAAATTAAATCAAATCTAAGTTTGAAATATGAAAGGTTTACACCAACAGGTTGCAAAGATATATGGATTATAAAATCAGAGTTTGTGGTAAAAACTCATTTCCTTTCGTTGACATTCCATCTAATAATGATTTTTATTTTTGCTTTTCAAAAATTCATTGTTTACGACCTATCTGTTATTAGGAACACAGCCTTTAAACACAAATCCCTTGAATTAAAATGTTTAGTATAAAATTTGGTAAATGATGTATTTATGAATTAATAATAAAACCCACTCACCTAATATCCGCCATTGTTTCCCCCAGCCGGTGAAACTCTAAAATAAGCTTTTACAAAACTTTACCAAGATAAAACCACAACATTAATAAGAAACAGGTAAGCTTCAAACTTTTATAAAAAAAATAATTTTTAATTCAAACAAAATTTTAATTAATTTAGAATTTTTATCTTTTGACTGAATTTTGGAGTGGGTGGGGGTATATCACCAAACCCTGTAATTTTGCCCTTGTTAATCAACTTTAAACTTTAAAGACATGTGCTCTAATTTTTTTTTATATCCGACCCTACAAATAAAGGTTGTAATTTCACTATTTTTGTTCCCCAAAAAACACTTGGAGTATCAATACCTGTCAGAAGGACCGGGGTCTGCTGAGATTTCTCCAATTCTTTCTCCATTTTCAATAACTAGAAAATTTGTGAGATGTACATACATGTCGTCTTCCAAAAAATTATTTTAGTAATATACCATAGACAAAGTATTAGATGTATAAAATTAGAGATAAAAACTTAAACAATAATTTTAAAAAGTGTTCTTTAGTCCTGTTTTCTCAGTTTTCAGAGAAAATAATTTATTTGAACATTGATTTTGAGGTGGTATTGGACATTGGTGTACAAGGACAAGTACAGGGTGTCCCACGAAACATGACAATAGCAAGACGACTTGAAAGTCGTCTTTGGTATTTGAATTTATTTGTGACATTTAATCTTCTATCTACTTTAACATGTATGATTCTTGAAACAACTATCACATAATTCTCCTAGCCCTGGCAGAGTTTGGTTCAGATTTCAATTTTGTTAAATAAAAGCAAAATTGTCGAAATCTGAACGAAATTCTTCATATCTCAGGCAATATTGGAAGCACAAAAAAGGCAGACCACATTTTGGAAATGGCAGGACAAGGGAATTTTTGTGATTATTATCTATAGAAATTTACTTCTAAAATTAGGTTGAAAAATAAACGCAGCAAATTATATCAAAAATCAAGACGACATTCAAGTCGTCCTGTATACTGTCATGTTTCGTGGGACACCCTGTATACTCCTCTAATTTTGCCTAGTTAGCATTACTTTTTTTAAGGTTTTGTTCTTTTAAAAGGTTCCACACAATTTTGATAAGTTTTACAAATAACCTTTTCTTTTCTTCCACTTCACCAAATTTTAAAACTGAGAGAGATATTTACCAGAATGAAGTAAATGGTGATAATGTTTGAACTAAATGGTATTCTTGCAAAAATCTTCTCTTAGGGATAAAATTTGATATAGTATAAGAAAAACAAATGTTGACAAATCAAAAAATATAATTTGCAGCTTATAGAAGATAATTTCGCTAAATAAAATGATTTAGAACAGGCGTGCAAAATTGAAAGAATCTTTTTATCAAATGCAGAATATCTAATTTGTTTCGTTCAGCCATGAAGACGACATAAGCGTGCTAGAAAACCAAATGTTGATAAAATTAAATACCTGATTTTCTAGGTTTGCTTGTTTGTCTTCTTGATAGGTTTCTTTTAGGTTATTCACTGCTTCATATGCATCATATGTTTTCTCTAATACAGGGCGTCCCATTAAACTTGGGAATTAAAGGTGAATACTTTTAAATTATCTATAATCTGGACATATTTTGTTAATTCAATTATAGTGCTATATAATTCTCATGTAAAACTGAAAACCAAAAATTTGTTCCAAGTCACAATTTAGATATTTCAATTGAGTTGTTAAATTTCTAAATACAGGGTGTCCCAATAAACATTGGAATTCAGTGACGAATTCGATATCGTCTTTTTAAATAATTCTTTGATTTAGTTTAGCGATACCTACTGAGAAAGCTGTAATCTGTAAGAGTTTCGTCTGTTCACATTTTGTTTGTTTATGTTTTAACTGCATACGGTTGTACTTAGTAAAACAAGAAAATTGCAGTATACAAACAGAATAAACTTGTCCGTCTTAACTGTTCATCTTGCAAAGACATTATAGACACATCTTTACAGTCTTTTACCCTTTTCATAAAATACACTCTAGCAGACATAATAATATTATGGCTTCTGAAAATTAGGTATTACAATGCTAATTCAAACAAAGACGATATCCAATTTGTCACTGAATTCCCATGTTTTTTTGGACACCTTGTACTTTGCACTCTATCAAAGTTTGATGACACTAAAAGGAAGCTCACACAATATAGTCTCTTGCTCTTGATTCACTCCTTGTCCTTTTCACTGACTATCGTAAATCAAGACTATTTTTAAAATCATATTGTCATAACCAGAAAACTACAAAATAGGAAGACGACTTTATAGCAGACACTTATTAAATCACAAATTTCCCGTGCTCATGGGACTATTTAAGCTGAAAAGTCGTCTTCCTATTACAGAGTTTTCTGGTTATCACTGTAGCTTATGAAAACATCATTTTTATGCATTGCATTACATTGCATTGCATTGCATTACATTAACAACAAAAATCTTATTAATTTATTAACAAATGTGGACTCTACAAGTTTAAATGTTTTTAGAAATAGCATTAAAAAACTGTATTACTGAATAAGGTAATATACAAAATGTTACACGCTTGAATTTATCAGAAATTGCCTTTTTAAAATTCAAATATTCATATAAATGGATATTTTGAGCTCTTACCTTTTAAATAATTCTGCTCATTAATTAGCTTTGTTTGAACTATTGTTTGATCCTGTTGCATAGCCTATAATTTAATTAAGTACATTCCTTCCTTAATATCATAATATTTTTTAATTTTCTTTATGTAAAATAAATTTAGGAAAGTGATCATTTGACCAAAAGGTTTTACTGCTAACGATATTCAGGGTTTTCACTCTGAGAAGACACCTAGTGGCCCACAAATTGTCCCCAAAGTATATTGTATATTAATAAAATAAAAAGATATTTAATCTACATAGGATTTCATTAAATTGATTTGTCATCTATAACTTGTAATATCTGAATGTTTAGTTTATATATTTAATCGTATTATCTACGTAACTCCACAGATAAGTATGGGTCACTGTTTGGTTAGCGTCAGTTATAACCATTATCTCCATGAAGGCGAATAGGGTTTCCAGTCGTAATTACGTTACGCGTAATTATGCGTAATTACGCGTAACACTTTCTTTCACTTACGCAGGAACATTAAGCGTAATTACGCATTTATTACGTTTACGAAAGAAAGACTAGTTTCGCGTAATTAAGGCGTAATTACGCGAAATTACGTAATACGAAACAATTCCGTAATAAATAAAGTACATATTAATTCTCAGAATTAATCATAGCGGGACAGTATGTGTAAGGATATGCCCGCTACAACCATGTAAAAAATATTTTGACGATTTTTTTTTAAACAAGGAAGGTAAACTTGAGAAAGTAGGTTGTAATATCAGTGGCGTAAAATAGGGGGGTTATTGGGGTTATGTACCCCCCCCTAGAATCCTGGGGGTAAATACTCCCCCTAGAATTTGTTTTTAAAAAAAGGTTGATTTTAAAATTGAATATCTTTAAAATTTGCACTAAAATAATTCAAATGTGCAGATACTTCAAACTTTGAATTATTTTGGTGAAATATTCTAAGTTTGAAATATCAAAGGTTTACACCACTGGGTACAAAGATTTAGGGATTAGAATATTTGAGTTTGTGGCAAAAACTCAGCTCCAAATCTAGAGAACATTCTGGCAAACTTCTAACTGATTATCATATTTCATAACCTGTTTATCTTCTTTAAACGAACTTCTATAAAATCGAAAAGAAAATAAGATTATAAATGTTGGTTAGAATGATTAATCATATATTCAATAACTTCAGGAGAAAAAGTAACATTATCTGTCCTTTTTTAATGTAGGTGATTAAAATTATATATGTATTTTGATAATATAATAATATAACTGATTCTTGAAAATTTATAGATTATGTTGTTGGCCCTTTGTTAAACTTCTTAGTTTTCGAACGTGAAAATTACATCAACATAGTATTGGCTGAAATTTCTGATTCAACTTGTGTGACATTATTTTCCTTGTAAGTTAGTTGTTTTATTTAAATTAAAAGTTAAAACTTCAAAATTTCATAGACGTAATTATTGCAAAATTTCGCAAAATTACTTTGTAGAAATTGAAGTTTTGCTAATTACACGCAATTAATACAAAATTTCGCGCAATTACCTTGTAGAAATTACGCGAACTTAGGCCGTAATTACGCGTAATTATCGTTTTGCTTATTACGCGTAATCATTATGAAATTTCGTGGAATTACGTTGTAGAAATTACGCGAAATTACGCCATAATTTCGCGAAATGAATATTTCCCCAATTACGCGTAATCCTGCGAAATTACACGAAATGAAAATTATTACGCGTAACTGCACGTAATTACGCGTAAGAGAATAATCTATTACGTTGGAAACCCTAAAGGCGAACCATCCTTAATTAATATTGGAAGCCATATCAGCCTACACTACCTTCATTTTTAACTTCTCACTTTCTTTCAATTAGAATCCCCCCCCCCCCATTAATTAAAAAGAAGCCTCTGAATTCCATCGATAAAATATGTCCCTAATGGAGTTTACATCCTTAATGAAAAATATGTCTGTAATAGTACTACAATTGTCAGTAGTACCTTAGTTGACTGAATAGATTGTTCCAGCTCTGCAACAGTTTTCTGTATAGAGGATACTTGATAATCCTGCCTATTTATATCAGCCGTAATCTGCGCATCAACAGCATCAACTTTAAGTTAGATTACTGGAATTTAAAAGCTTCCAGGGCCCATCTTTAATTTTAATTTTTAATTGATGCTCTTTTATCAATTTTCTTATTGACTTTAAAAATCACACTTTTTTATGGCATTTATTTTTTAGTTCTTACCATTAATGAACATTTCCTGGGATCATGTGAGGTCCCACAAACAATTTGGGCCAGATCATTTTAGCTGTTTTGATGTTAATGGTTTAAAAAAATATAGATTTGCAATAACTGGGAACTTTTAATTAGAAAACCAACAATCCTGATCATTTGATCTTGATATCCACTGTGGGCTCTGTTAATTTGAGAATCTAATAAAAACTATCATTCCATATCTGCCTTATAGTTAATCCTCTCCTGAGCATAGCTCCCCGTAACCCTTGAGGTATGATTACCAAGGGGGATATCACTCAAAATTCCTGTCTCAGAACAGAGTAAATAGAAATTAGACAATCTAAGGTCATTGTTGGTCTATATGGCAAGAAAAAAAATTAAACCCTGTGAAAGAAGGGTTTCCAGCGGAAAAATGCGGAGATTTTCGTTCACATTGTACAACATTTTTGATGCAATTGATTTATATCAGCCAATAAAAAGAATCATTTCTTTCTGATAAAGTATTGCTTTCCTTATCTGTTGATTCCTGTAAAACTACTACTGGATCCCTGTTGAAAGATGAGAATTTAATAATAAAAAGAACAAGATAATTTCAAGATATGTTAAACCATTAACCATTAACAGAAATAGCAAATTTTATAACAAATAAATAACCTTTTAGGTCTGTAGCAGCACCACCATATTACAAGAAGAAGAAGAAAACAGCAGATCAGTACAGCAAGAATTATAATCACTACAAGGAGTGCTACACTGATGCCAGACTAAAAAGTACAGAAGTAAAGACAGGGTTATAATCACTACAAGGAATGCTACACTGATACCAGACTAAATAGTTCATTAGTACATTAAGGATTACAATTACTACAAGGAGTGCTTATCTGATACCAGACTAAATAGTTCATCAGTACACCAAGAATTATAATCACTACAAGGAGTGCTACACTGATACCAGACTAAATAGTACATCAGTACTACAAGGAGTCCTACACTGAAACCAGATAAAAAAAGTTAATCAGTATACCAAGAATTATAATCACAACAAGGAGTGCTACACTGATACCAGACTAAATAGTTCATTAGAACACCAAGGATTATAATCACCACAATACCAGTCTAAATAGTACATCAGTAAATAGAATTACTACAAGGAGTGCTATACTGATACCAGACTTAACAGTGCATCAGTAAATTAAGGAACCAGGTTTTATAAATAGGAGAGCTTGTAGAATAAATAATTTAGTTAGACTCTGCCCATAAGACTGATAGAACCAGCGTGAAGGTTCAACTATCTCATAAAATCTGATCTAAGGGATTTCTGATCTATGGATTTTTTGACCAAAAAATGTCTAATTTTAAAAAGGTGGTTAAACATCGGTAATGGTATTTAATGAAGGGTTGTTGTTAACAATTGCAATAAATTTAAAACAATCCATCCCATATTACAGCATTAATAATTGCATCAAAGAGTGCCACTCTAATTAATGTTAAATGAATTAAGACAGTTGTGGGGCCTTGGGCTGATTGTTAGTTCATTTATTAGAAATTCAAGATATCTGGAAATTTAAATACTTACAGTTTCTTCTGTGATCACTGTATCCGCTACAACCGTTATAGTTTCTTCATTTTGAACTAAAACTAGCAGTCAATATTTTATTTTATCAACCCCCCCCCCAGCTTTACATATATTCAAACCCCCAGCTGTTTATGGTTAATGTACGAGAAAATTTGATAGTTGAGAAAGTGGCAGAGGACAATTATAGATTCAAATGTGTAACTTCAAAATGTACCTGCACTTACAACAGGTGTAGCTGAAGTAGGTGGGGAGGGGGGAAAAATATCCCCCAATGGGGACTCTAGGGGAATCATTTCCCTTGTGGATCCTGGAGGTCCAATTGGGGAATAATCATCATCAAAAAAGTTCACATTCACCGTATGGGAAGTGACAACTACCTGAACATACATTGTTATAATAAAATGATTATTCTATGCATCATAGTTACTATTCTTACTATTTAATTCTATTTTTACCCGATGAAGTTTTTGTAAGGTAAAAACTGTGTTGTAAAAATGTTTTCAAAACTCTAGTTATCAGTTTAAGTAATTTAAATTGGGACATTTTCCGAAATCATGTAATCTTTTCTTTCAATAGACATCACTTAAAGGGTCTTTCACTTTCATGGAAAACTAAATAGCCTAGTAGATATTCATTCAATCATTTGCACCCATGGTTTAGGGCTTATGCAAATAATTCACTCAAGATCTATGTACTATTCTTTAGTATCAATCCCTTAAATAACATTAGTTCTAAACATACAAACAGCTAATTGCCAAAAATATTAGTTTAACAAACAACTAGTAAAAGTTTAAATATTTATATTCAGAACCATTTATTTTACCTGGCAGGAAGATTTGCTTGAGGAAAACACTATATCCAGGTCTAACACAGCTTCATAGCAGGCTACCCAACTTTAGTAAAATACATGTTATTGATATTCAGCGATTAAAAATATTGTTTTGTGCTATTTGAATTAACATCTGAGAAATTAGATTCTAATTAACAAACTGGCTTCGATGTTTAATGACTTTAAAAGTACCAAAGGAACTGGGGGTAGGTAGGCATGCAGCTGTGAGCCCTGCAATCTCCTGTTTAAACCAAGGTAGATAGCAGAACCTTGTCTCTGTAATAATCTGTCCTTGCTCACAGTTTCCATCTCAAATTGCATCAATTGAATTCATTAAATTATATGACAGAGCTTTTCCCTCAAATATATATTTATATTTTTTTTTAAATGTTAGCTACAGCTAGCAAAACAGCTGGACTAAATGTGCTGCAATTTTATGAGGAAACCTATTGGCATCCAGGGGGTACTGTAAACTTAAATAATTCAAATTTTTTTCCTTCAAAGTTCTCAGTTATTTATAATTCTTAGGACATTGCTGGGCACTTCTGCTAGTACACCATAAATTTGCTTAAATTAAAGCTCAACATGTAGAAACAGGTAAAATTTGCTAACAATGCTGTGGTTCCTCCTGTTATTGATAAGATTAATGATTTTACAAATAAGAATTGTTTCAAGGAATTATGCCATTATACTGATTACAAAATATACAATTCTTTGACATCTATATTATTATCTTTGGAAACCAGTTCATGAAATTCAAGGGAGACACTTGAGCTATCTGACAATTTTCTGTCATTTCAAGGAATAGACTAAGCTGGTGTAGTAAAATACCCTTAAACAATAGAAGTTCTAGAATCTTAGATATAGGTTACTCATTAGAAGATTCTACCAAAAATATATAATTAATTGTTTGCACATTATGTTAAAAATGAAAAATTAATGTAATCAAAAACCAATTTGCATAGCTGACTGGTAGGAATATGAATTGCTGCCAGTCAAAAAAAAAAATTGGGAATACCAATAGAATACCCTAACTCCTTTAAGGGGAACAGGGTGATCCCAAGGTTATTAAACTGCAAAAGTGTATTATTAGGCAACATTAAACATAAGCAATATTAGCCAAGATGAGATGAATTAAAATATAATACAATTTTGGTTTATTAAGGGTGGAGGGATCGACTGCAGTGAAAGAGTTAGAACTTAAGGAACTTCCATCATGTTGTTTGTGACAGAATTAGACTTGGAAATACTTCCTATCATAATTGCATTCAGTTTCTTTAATTCATGTCCTTTTCTGTCCTTTTCCGCTTGATGTCAGAATCAGTGTTTTCAAATCTGATTGGCAGCAAGGTCATACATTGCTTTGATGCTGTTATCTGCTGATTTGCTTAATAAGTAAAGGGCTTGACTATTCCTTCCTATATATCTATCTAAGGTTGGCTCAGCTAGTCTGTGGATGAGGACTTCTTTAGATACAGGGTTGAGCACATTAAATTTTCATAGAAATCTCACCAAGTTCTAATTTATACTTCCACTTGGTTCTGGAAAAGTGACAGAGGAATGAGGATTGGAGATAAGCTATAAGTGTATACATCCTGGCTTGATTAGAGAGATCTGCAGCCTCCAAATGTTACATGGGGCCACTATGAAATCAACATTGATTCGAACAGTGGTTCAATTTGGTCCAGGATCCTTACTCACACAAGAGTTTAAATCTGCTCTTGAGGATATAAGTGATTATTATTATCTTTGCATACTAGTTCAGGAGACTGTTGAGATTTTTGACAAGCTCCTGTCATTTCAGGGAATATATTGACTAAATTTTGTAATCAAAACCTTAAAGAGGAAGTAAATTTCTTTAACAATAGATTTACAAGAATCTTGGATATCTGGTTGTAGGTTACTCCAGGTTTAGGTATCTTCCTGGTATAAAGCTGAATTATTCAGGAATAAGATGCTATTAAGAAGCATTATTTTAAAGACCAGGATTTAAATTTTGACAATTATTAGATGTAATCATCATTCAAAGATTCTTCAAAAAATATTTAATTAATCAGATGTAAAGTCCTTCTTCATGAGGAACTTACATACGATCTACCACTGGGCTTCTACCCATCTCGTCTGTGCCATCCCACAAGCTTATATCGGGGTTTTATGACTGGGTCTATCACCTGAATCTTCAGATAAAGATTAACCCTAACTACAATATCAGGAGGGGGCTACACTCTGCTCCGACTAACTTGTTGCGGTATTATCTTGTGGCCGCCATAGCCCAGTCCCACATAAGCAGTCCAGGGTGGGGTTTGTACAGTGGGTTGTAGATTAGAGCCCAAAATTTAAGACAGGGTATTGTTATGAAAACGGGTTTTGAAACCCGGGTTTCACAAATGGGGTTAGGCAGTTTTGTGGATATCAATATTTTTGTTCAGAAAATTATTTA